TTCGAGAGAGAGGGTGTGGATTTCTTTCTATATTGTTTTGATACACTACCAGTCAAAGGTTTGGACACACCTACTCATTCAAGGTTTTTATTTAATTTTTACTATTTATTAAATTGTAGATTAATAGTGAAGACATCAAAACTATGAAATAACACATATGGAATCACGTATAGTGGGGAGAACAAGTATTTGATACATTGCAGATTTTGCAGGTTTTCCTACTTACAAAGCATGTAGAGGTCTGTCATTTTTATCATAGGTACACTTCAACTGTGAGAGACGGAATCTAAAACAAAAATCCAGAAAATCACATTGTATGATTTTTAAGTAATTAATTTGCATTTTATTGCATGACATAAGTATTTGATCACCTACCAACCAGTAAGAATTCCGGCTCTCACAGACCTGTTAGTTTTTCTTTCAGAAGCCCTCCTGTTCTCCACTCATTACCTGTATTAACTGCACCTGTTTGAACTCGTTACCTGTATAAAAGACACCTGTCCACACACTCAATCAAACAGACTCCAACCTCTCCACAATGGCCAAGACCAGAGAGCTGTGTAAGGACATCAGGGATACAATTGTAGACCTGCACAAGGCTGGGATGGGCTACAGGACAATAGGCAAGCAGCTTGGTGAGAAGGCAACAACTGTTGGCGCAATTATTAGAAAATTGAAGAAGTTCAAGATGACGGTCAATCACCCTCGGTCTGGGGCTCCATGCAAGATCTCACCTCGTGGGGCATCAATGATCATGAGGAAGGTGAGGGATCAGCCCAGAACTACACGGCAGGACCTGGTCAATGACCTGAAGAGACCTGGGACCACAGTCTCAAAGAAAACCATTAGTAACACACTATGCCGTCATGGATTAAAATCCTGCAGCGCACGCAAGGTCCCCCTGCTCAAGCCAGAGCATGTCCCGTCTGAAGTTTGCCAATGACCATCTGGATGATCCAGAGAAGGAATGGGAGAAGGTCATGTGGTCTGATGAGACAAAAATTTAGCTTTTTGGTCTAAACTCCACTCGCCGTGTTTGGAGGAAGAAGAAGGATGAGTACAACCCCAAGAACACCATCCCAACGTGAAGCATTGAGGTGGAAACATCATTCTTTGGGGATGCTTTTCTGCAAAGGGGACAGGACGACTGCACCGTATTGAGGGGAGGATGGATGGGGCCATGTATCGCGAGATCTTGGCCAACAACCTCCTTCCCTCAGTAAGAGCATTGAAGATGGGTCGTGGCTGGGTCTTCCAGCATGACAACGACCCGAAACACACAGCCAGGGCAACTAAGGAGTGGCTCCGTAAGAAGCATCTCAAGGTCCTGGAGTGGCCTAGCCAGTCTCCAGACCTGAACCCAATTGAAAATCTTTGGAGGGAGCTGAAAGTCTGTATTGCCCAGCGACAGCCCCGAAACCTGAAGGATCTGGAGAAGGTCTGTATGGAGGAGTGGGCCAAAATCCCTGCTGCAGTGTGTGCAAACCTGGTCAAGACCTACAGGAAACGTATGATCTCTGTAATTGCAAACAAAGGTTTCTGTACCAAATATTAAGTTCTGCTTTTCTGATGTATCAAATACTTATGTCATGCAATAAAATGCAAATTAATTACTTAAAAATCATACAATGTGATTTTCTGGATTTTTGTTTTAGATTCCGTCTCTCACAGTTGAACTGTACCTATGATAAAAATTACAGACCTCTACATGCTTTGTAAGTAGGAAAACCTGCAAAATCGGCAGTGTATCAAATACTTGTTCTCCCCACTGTAGTAACCCCCCAAAAAAGAAAGTGTTAAACAAATCAAAATATGTTTTATATTTGAGATTCTTCAAATAGCCACCCTTTGCCTTGATGACAGATTTGCACACTCTTGGCATTCTCTCAACCAGCTTCACCTGGAATGCTTTTCCAACAGTCTTGAAGGAGTTCCCACATATGTTGAGCACTTGTTGGCTGCTTTTCCTTCACTCTGCGGTCCGATTAATCCCAAACCATCTCAATTGGGTTGAGGTCAGGGTATTGTGGAGACCAGGTCATCTGATGCAGGTATTCCATCACTCTCCTTCTTGGTAAAATATCCCTTACACAGCCTGGAGGTGTGTTGTGTCATTATCCTGTTGAAAAACAAATGATAGTCCCACTAAGCCCAAACCAGATGGGATGGTGTATCACTGTAGAATGCTGGGGTATCAATGCTGGTTAAGTGTGCCTTGAATTCTAAATAAATCACAGACAGTGTCACCAGCAAAGCACCCCCACACCATAACACCTCCTCGTCCATGCTTTACAGTGGGAAATACACATGTGGAGATCATCCGTTCACCTACACCGCGTCTCACAAAGACACAGCGGTTGTAGCCAAATATTTCCAATTTGGACTCCAGACCAAAGGACAAATTTCCACCAGTCTGATGTCCATTGCTCATGTTTCTTATTATTATTGGTGTCCTTTAGTAGTGGTTTCTTTGAACAGTTGATGTTGAGATGTGTCTGTTACTTGAACTCTGTGAAGCATTTATTTGCTACAATTTCTGAGGCTGGTAACTCTAATGAACTTATCCTCTGCAGCAGAGGTAACTCTGGGTCTTTCATTCCTGTGGCGGTCCTCATGAGAGCCAGTTTCATCATAGCGCTTGATGGTTTTTGCGACTGCACTTGAAGAAACTTTCAAAGTTCTTGAAATGTTCCGTATTGACTGACCTTCATGTCTTAAAGTAATGATGGACTGTCGTTTCTCTTTGCTTATTTTAGCTGTTCTTGCCATAATATGGACTTTTACCAAATAGGGCTATCTTCTGTATACCACCCCTACCTTGTCACAACACAACTGATTGGCTCAAACGCATTAAGAAGGAAAGAAATTCCACAAATTAACTTTTAAGAAGGCACACCTGTCAATTGAAATGCATTCCAGGTGACTACCTCATGAAGCTGGTTGAGAGAATGCAAGAGTGTGCAAAGCTGTCATCAAGGCAAATGGTGGCTACTTTGAAGAATCTCAAATATAAAATATATTTTGATTTGTTTAACACTTTTTTGGTTACTACATGATTCCATATGTGTTATTTCATAGTTTTGATGTCTTCATTATTATTCTACATTGTAGAAAATAGTAAAAATAAAGAAAAAACCTGGAATGAGTAGGTGTGTCCAAACTTTTGACTGGTACTGTATATACAGTGTATTAGGAAAGTATTCAGACCACTTGACTTTTTCCACGTTTTGTTACATTACAGCCTTATTATTTTTTTCAATCTACACACAATACCCCATAATGACAAAGTATTCAGACCCTTTACTCAGTACTTTGTTGAAGCACCTTTGGCAGCGATTACAGCCTCTAGTCTTTTTGGGTATGACGCTACAAGTTTGGCACTCCTGTATTTGGGTAGTTTCTCCCATTTTTCTTTGCAGATCCTCTCAAGCTCTGTCAGGTTGGATGGGGAGCGTTGCTGCACCGCAATTTTCAGGTCTCTCCAGAGATGTTCGATCGGGTTCAAGTCCGGGCTCTGGCTGGGCCACTCAAGGACATTCAGAGACTTGTCCTGAAGCCACTCCTGCGTTGTCTTGGCTGTGTGCTTAGGGTTGTTGTCCTGTTGGAATGTGAACCTTCGCCCCAGTCTGGGTCCTGAGCACTCTGGAGCAGGATCTCTCTGTACTTTGCTCCGTTCATCTTTCCCTCGATCCTGACTAGTTTCCCAGTCCCTGCCACTGAAAAACATCCCCACAGCATGATGCTGCCACCACCATGCTTCACCATAGGGATGGTGCCATGTGTCCTCCAGACGTGACGCTTGGCATTAAAGCCAAAGAGTTCCATTTTGGTTTCATCAGACCAGAGAATCTTGTTTCTCAAGGTCTGAGAGTACTTTAGGTGCCTTTTGGCAAACCCCAAGCGGGCTGTCAGGTGCCTTTTACTGAGGAGTGGCTTCTGTCTCACCACTCTACCATACAGGCCTGATTGTTGGAGTGCTGCAGAGATGGTTGTCCTTCAGGAAGGTTCTCCCATCTCAACAGAGGAACTCTGGAGCTCTTTCAGAGTGACTATCGGATTCTTGGTCACCTCCCCGATTGCTCAGTTTGGCCTGGCAGCCAGCTCTAGGAAGAGTCTTGGTGGTTCCAAACTTCTTCCATTTAAGAATGATTGAGGCCACTGTGTTCTTGGGGACCTTTCTTGGTACCCTTCCCCAGATCTGTGCCTCGACACAATCCTGTCTTGGCACTCTACGGACAATTCCTTCGAACCTCATGGCTTGGTTTTTACTCTGACACGCACTGTCAACTGTGGGACCTTATATAGACAGGTGTGTGCCTTTCCAAATAATGTCCAATCAATTGAATTGACCACAGGTGGACTCCAATCAAGTTGTAGAAACATATCAAGGATGATCAATGGAAACAGGATGCACCTGAGCTCAATTTTGAGTCTCATATCAAAGGGTCTGAATATTTATGTAAATACGGTATTTCTGTTTTTGCTTTGTCATTATGGGGTATTGTGTGTAGATTGCTGAGGATTATTATTTTTTAAATCCATTTTAGAATAAGGCTGTAACGTAACACAATGTGGAAAAGGTCAAGGGGTGTGAATACTTTCCGAAGGCACTGTAAGTGGTAACTAAGTGCTAATTTGGCATTGTAGGGTGGTGTGGTGGCTTCTTGTTTTACAGTGAAAGAGAGCTCACCAGAACTTTTTCCCATGACTTGATTGTAGCTACACTTACTGGCAGTTTGCCAGACATACAGACTGGATCAAGACACTCACTACATACACTAATGAGTTATGACAGTCGGAGAGTTGCTAATGCAGAAAAGTTGTTAGTTTTTTTGTTTTGTCAACTCAACTTAATTTCCTAAATTGATGTAACTTAAAAATGTAACATCAATTTATATTTTAAAGTTGAAACGGTTAGATTATTTTAGATGATTATGCTCAATGGACTCAATCCCTAATGTGATGATGACACTAAAAGGAGCGTATGCATTTTGTGGCTTTCCAGGTGGTTTTGTGAGGGGAAGGAGCTGGAGAACTGCCCTGACATTCAGATCATCAACAACGACGAGTTGCACTCTCTGATCATTGCCGAGGCATTCGAGGAAGACACAGGGCGGTACTCTTGCTTTGCTTCCAACTTCTATGGCACAGATTCAACATCTGCAGAAATCTACATCGAAGGTGACCATTGAGTTTGACCTTCAAGTCAAGTGACCCATCTAGAGTGCATCGTCACATAAAGATGTAATGCTGATGTAATTAATTAGTATCTCTTCTGGTTCAAATGTTTCATTTTAAATTAAAACAAATGAATATAGACAATCATACTAAGATCATCCCTACTGTTGAGCTGTACATCACCCTCTTTTATATGTTTTACAGGTGCCTCCTCTACAGATTCGGAGGGGGAACAACATTTTGAACAAGTAGCACAGTGAGTACACTACTCTTCCTCAACTCAAAATATAATTGGAAAACATTTAATTGCGGCAGTGAAAGCAAGCTTCAAAGGCTTCAATTCTGTAATGTAATAGGCCTCAGTGTAGCACATAAAGTTCCTTCAGAAAGTATTCACACCCCTTGACTTTTTCCACATTTTGTTGTGTGACAGCCTGAATTTAAAATGGATTCAATTTAGATTTTTTTGTAACTGGCCTACTACACACAATACCCCATAATGTCAAAGTGGAATTGTGTTTTTCGAAATGATTACAAATGATCATTATTATTTATTTTTTGGGGGGTGGATCAGCTTGAATATTGCAAATAGATTTAGGCTTTTATCAATGTAATTGTCTTAATCATTTCCAATACCCCATATATTTTTTAAATAAATACATATATTTTCCTTTATTATTTTCCCCTAACCCTACCATCCCTCCCCTAAGTAGAGTAAATTAATAGACAACAACACTTAGGCGTCTACTTCCAGCTTATACGTACTATATACATTTTACAGACACAGTATATTTTACATTAGTTATATTTTGTTTGTTTTTAGTCCCACCCTTCAGCTCCCCTCAACCCCTCCCATCTACAGTGCATTTGGAAAGTATTCAGGCCCCTTCCCTTTTTCCACATTTTGTTACGTTACAGCCTTATTCTAAAATGTATTTAAAAAATAATAATCCTCAACAATCTACACACCCCATAATAACAAAGCGAAAACAGGTCTTTAGAAATGTTTGCAAATTTATAAAAAATGTACATAAGTATTCAGACCCTTTGCTATGAGACTCGAAATTGAGCTCAGGTGCATCCTGTTTCCATTTATCATCCTTGAGATGCTTCTTCAACTTCATTGGAGTCCACCTGTCGTAAATTCAATTGATTGGACATGATTTGGAAAGGCACACACCTGTCTATATAAGGTCCCACAGTGGACAGTGCAGGTCAGAGCAAAACCAAGCCATGAGATCGAAGGAATTGTCCGTAGAACTCAGAGACAGGATTGGGTCAAGGCACAGATCTGGGGAAGGGTACCAAAAAATGTCTGCAGCATTGAAGGCCCCCAAAAACACAGTGGCCTCCATCATTCTTAAATGGAAGAAGTTTTGAACCACCAAGACTCTTCCTAGTGCTGGTCGCCCGGCCAAACTGAGCAATCATGGGAGAAGGGCCTTGCTCAGGGAGGTCCTACGGTCACTCTGGCACCATCCCTACAGTGAAGCATGGTGGTGGCAGCATCATGCTGTGGGGATGTTTTTCAGCGGCAGGGACTGGGAGACCTGTCAGGATCGAGGGAAAGATGAATGGAGCAAAGCACAGAGAGATCCTTGATAAAAACCTGCTCCAAAGCGCCAAGGGCCTCAGACTGGGGAGAAGGTTCACCTTCCAACAGGACAACGACCCTAAGCACACAGCCAAGACAATGCAGGAGTGGCTTTGGGACAAGTCTCTGAATGTCCTTGAGTGGCCCAGCCAGAGCCCGGACTTGAACCCGATCGAACATCTCTGGAGAGACCTGAAAATAGCTGTGCAGCAACGCTCCCCATCCACCTGAGCTTGAGAGGTTCTGCAGAGAAGAATGGGAGAAACTCCCCAAATACAGGTGTGCCAAGCTTGTAGCGTCATACCCAAGAAGACTTGAGGTTGTAATCGCTTCCAAAGGTGCTTCAACAATGTACTGAGTAAAGGGTCTAAATACTTATGTAAATGTGATATTTCAGTTTTGTATTCTTTATACATTTCCAAAAATGTAAAAACAAATACTGTTTTTGCTTTGTCATTATGGGGTATTGTGTGTAGATTGATGAGAATTTTTTTTGCAATTTAATCCATTTTAGAATAAGGCTGTAACGTAACAAAATGTTGAAAAGTCAAGGGGTCTGAATACTTTCCGAATGCACTGTATCTCTGAACACCATCAACTGTGCTGTGATGTTTCACAAAAGTTCTGAACCTTTCTATTCTCATAGTTTCTACAGATTGTAAATTAAAGATACTTTTTTTTGCTAAGATCATTATGATATTATTGATCAATTGAGTGTGACTTTTCAGATCACCCAGCAGTGCTATTTGCAGAGTTAACTCCAGGTAAATGTTGCAATTCTTCAGGCCTTCCTGAACGTGCGACCAAAAACAAGCTACATATGGACAGTACCAAAACAAATGATCTAATGATTCTGTCTCATCGCAACAAAATCTGAAGAGCTGTGATGGTTTTATCCCCCATAGATATAGCATTCTATTGGTTGCAAAAATTTTGTATAATCATTGAAATTGAAAAACTCTATGTTTTGAATCCGGTGTCTATTTTGCAATCTGTATGGCACAGCTATCCATTTTTTGGTCCTTGAATGAAACTGGTATACTTTTTTATTTATCACAATTTTCTTTAACCAATTTTGATATTTAATGCAGGGCCAACAGACAAGATCCTTACTTTCTCACCCTTCCACTTGCTTCTTCCATTTTTGCGGGAATGCTGCAATTAGTTGATTGTAATTTTGGATAGAGGAGACATTTCCATATATTTATTTTTGTAGCATGTTTGAAATAACCTCACCAGTCCTATTTATGATATTATTTACAAAGATTATTCCGTTTTTATTTTTTTTATTTTAAATAATGCTTTTATTAGTATATTTGAGTTTAACCATAATATTTGGTTAAATTTTGTTCTGTCTTTTAATAATAATAATAATAATAATAATATGCCATTTAGCAGACGCTTTTATCCAAAGCGACTTACAGTCATGCGTGCATACATTTTTGTGTATGGGTGGTCCCGGGGATCGAACCCACTACCTTGGCGTTACAAGCGCCGTGCTCTACCAGCTGAGCTACAGAGGACCACTTTTCTGGTGGATTAAACATAAGTTGCAACCAACTTTATATGGCTTGTTTTAAAAATAGTGATATTTAGAGATTATTTCATTTTCAAATAACCGAAAGTGAGAGGTTGTAATCTGAATAAAGGGAAAAAGGACATTCTTCAACACGGGGTGAGCCATACTAATCTGCTAGAGAACTAGTTTGGATTTAAGTATAGTTTTTGTATGACTGAAACCTTTAGTGAGAGGTCTAATGCTTTAATATTTAATAATTTCTGCCCTCCAAATTCATATTAATTATATAAATAGGCCCGTTTAATTTTGTCTGGCTTGCCGTTCCAAATAAAATGTAATATTATTTGCTCATATAATTTAAAAAAGAAGTTAGGTGTAGGCAGGGCCATAAGCAAATAGGTGAACTGGGATATGACTAAAGAGTTAATGAGGGTGATTCTTCCACAAGTAGACAGGTATTTTCCTTTCCATGGCAGTGAGATCTTATCTAGTATTTCTAACTTTAAAAGAAAACATGAATCATCAGCGTACAATGACACCTGTTTTTAAACCCTGGATTTCTAGCCACTTGATATTATTGTTGGATCTGATTATAATAGTTAACATTTCGATGGGAATAATAAATAGATATGCCAATGGTGGACAACCTTTTTTTAAATGAAAAGCTGAAATGTCTTGAGTCAATAAGTATTCAACCCCTTTGTTATGGAAAGCCTAAATCATTTCAGGTGTAAACATGTGCTTAACAAGTCACATAATAAGTTGCATGGACTCACTCTGTGTGCCATAATAGTGTTTAACATGATTTTTGAATGACTACCTCAACTCTTTACCCGACACGACAATTATCTGTAAGTTCCCTTAGTCGAGCAGTGAATCTCAAACACATATTCAACCACAAAGACCAGGGAGGTTTTTCAATGCCTCGTAAAGAAGGGAGCCTATTGGTAGATGGGTCAAAATAAAAAAAAAGCAGACATTGAATATCCCTTTGAGCATGGTGAAGTTATTAATGCCACTTTGGATGGTGTGTCAATACACCCAGTCACTACAAAGATACAGGCATCCTTCCTAACTCAGTTGCCGTAGAGGAAGGAAACCGCTCAGGGATTTCACCATGAGGCCAACAGTGACTTTAAAACAGTTACAGAGTTTAATGGCTGTGGTAGCAGAAAACTGAGGGTGGATCAACAACATTGTAGTTACTCCACAATACTAACCTATTGACAAAGTGAAAAGATGTACAGAATAAACATATTCCAAAACATGCATCCTGTTTGCAAAAAGGCACTAAAGTAATACTGCAAGAAACTTGGCAAAGCAATTAACTTTTTGTCCTGAATACAAAGTGTTATGTTTGGGGCAAATCCAATACAACACATTACTGAGTAACACTCTCCATATTTTCAAGCATAGTGGTGGCTGCATCATGTTATTGGTATGCTTGTAATCGTTAAGGACTGGGGAGTTTTTCAGGATAAAAAATAAATGGAATGAAGCTAAGCACAGGCAAAATCCTAGAGGAAAACCTGGTTCACTCTGCTTTCCACCAGACACTGGGAGATGAATTCACCTTTCAGCAGGACAATAACCTAAAATACAAGGCCAAATATACACTGGAGTTGCTTACCAAGACGACATTGAATGTTCCTGAGTGGCCTTATTACAGTTTTGACTTAAATCGGATTGGAAATCTATGGCAAGACTTGAAAATGTCTGTCTAGCCTGAAGAAGGCACAGTGATGCCGAACGTTGGTGGTTTCTTACCCAATAAAGTATTTGGAGTTTATACATAGGGTGTGCGACTCTCTTTATTTGTTTTTATAGCTTACAGTTACCACCTCTACACTAAATAATGTTCTCTGGGTGTGCGCCAGCTCATGCTTTTTATTAACAATGATCAACAACCAACTTGACAGAGCTTCAATCCAGGTGTGCAAAGCTCTTAGAAATGTACCCAGAAAGACTCACAGTTGTAATCGCTGCAAAGTATATTCTAACATGTATTGACTCAGGGGGTTGAATACTTCTCAAGACTGTAACAAGGCCAAATCTACATTGGAGTTGCTTACCAAGAAACAGTAAATATTCCTGAGTGGCCGAGTTACAGTTTTGATTTAAATCTACATGAAAATATTTGGCAAGACCTGAAAATGGCAATGATCAACAACCAATTTGACAGAGCTTGAAGAATTTTGAAAATAATAATGGGAAATGTTACACAATGCAGGTGTGGAGAGCTCTAACAGACTTACCCAGAAAGACTCACCACTGTAATTGCTGCCAAAGGTGCTTCTAATATTGACTCAGGGGTGTGATGAATACTTATGTAAATCTGTTATTTATTTCATTTTCAATAAATTTGCAAACATTTCTAAAAACATTTTTTCACTTTGTGTAAAGAAAATCAATTTAATCAATTTTGAATTCAGGCTGTAACACAACAAAATGTGGAACAAGTAATGGGGTATGAATACTTTCTGAAGGCACTGTATGTAACTTCAACACTGTAAAAATAATTATAACCCAGTGTGACCTGGTTAGTTACAATGTATCCTGTTTCCCCTGTAAACCTAAAGGCTGCAGAGGACCCCAGCTCAGCCGGCTGCTCCGTCTTTACGTCCAGTGGTCTGTGCTGTGTCTGTGTGTGAGGAAGACACACCCATCTGTACTGAAGACCAGCCACAGGAGGCCACCTCACTGCCGTCTAGCCAGGTAGTCACTGCATCTGTGCCTGTCAAGGTAACTACTACTGTCCTTCCTGTTACGGAGGTGACAGCAACACCCACCCAGGTGGCGTTTACATTGTCCCCTGCCCAGGAGACGTCAGCACCGTTACCTGTCCAGGTAGTCTGTACTCTAGATCTACCACCTGTGGACATAGTGTCAGTACTGGCGCAGGAGGTGTCAACACCGTCACTGTCAACACCGTCACCTGTCCCAGTGACGTCCGCACCATTACCGACAAAGGCAGTCACTACCACGGCACTACCACTGACCCAGGTGGTTTCCTCTACACTGCCTGCCCAGGTGGCTCCCATACAGATGACTCTGTCTGAGGTAATATTCTGCTGAAAACGCTCTGGCTGCTGAATATACTGCAAACATATAAATGGAAATTCCAGATATCTGAAATATGTCTAACTTTTCTTTCTACTCAGCGATCTTTATTCAAGACACACATAGTACTTGACAATAATGTATATTTGTGTTTGGTTACTTAAATGATGGAATCCTTTTTTTCAGAACTTAAACGGTGACAGCTATAACCGAGGTCTAGACGTCTATCCTCAAGGTCTAGACGGGAGGCCTATCATCGCTGCCCCTGTTTTCACAAAGGTACCCTACTAAAATTATCCATTCTATTAATAATTAGAAGATACAGTATGTACAATGTCAACTTCATCATCAAACAGAAAATATGATATTATCTTATATATATATATATATACAGTGCCTTCAGAAAGTATTCATACCCCTTGACTTATTCCACATTTTGTTGTTAGAGCCTGAAATCAAAATGGATTAAATATATTTATTTTCTCACCCATCTACACACAAACATAATGACAACATGAACACATGTTTTTAGATATTTTTGCAAATGTATTGAAAATGAAATACAGAAATATTTAATTTACACAAGTATTCACACCCCATGAGCCAATACTTTGTAGAAGCACCTTTGGCAGTGATTATAGCTGTGAGTCTTTCTGGGTAAGTCTCTAAGAGATTTCCATACCTGGATTGTGCAATATTTGCATATAATAACTGTTTTCGCTTCAAGCTTTGTCAAATTGGTTGTTGATCATTGCTAGACAACCATTTTCAGGTCTTGCCATACATTTTCAAGTAGATTTAAGTCAAAACTCTAACTCGGCCACTCAGGAACATTTACTGTCTTCTTGGGAAGCAACTCCAATGTAGATTTGGCCTTGTGTTTTAGGTTATTGTCCTGCTGAAAGGTGAATTCATCTCCCAGTCTCTGGTGGAAAGCAGACTGAACCAGGTTTTCCTCTAGGATTTTGCCTTTGCTTACTTAGCCCCATTCCGTTTCTTTTTTATCCTGAAATACTCCCCAGTCCTTAACGATTACAAGCATAACATGATGCAGCCACCACTATGCTTGAAAATATAGAGAGTGGTAGTCAGTAATGTGTTGTATTGGATTTGCCCCAAACATAACACTTTGTATTCAGGACAAAAAGTGAATGGCTTTGCCACATTTTTTGCAGTATTACTTTAGTGCCTTGTTGCAAACAGGATGCATGTTTTGGAATAGTTTTATTCTGTACAGGCTTCCTTCTTTTCACTCTGTCATTTAGGTTAGTATCGTGGAGTAACTACAATGTTGTTGATCCATGCTCAGTTTTCTCCTATCACAGCCATTAAACTCTGTAACTGTTTTAAAGTCACCATTGGCCTCATGCTGAAATCCCTGAGCGGTATCCTTCCTCTCCGGCAACTGAGTTAGGAAGGATGACTGTATCTTTGTTGTGACTGAGTGTATTGACACACCATCCAAAGTGTAATTAATACCTTCACCATGCCCAAAAGGATATTCAATGTCTGCTTTTTTTTATTTCTACCCATCTACCAATAGGTGCCCTTCTTTGCGAGGCATTGGAAAACCTCCCTGGTCTTTGTGGTGGAATCTGTGTTTGAAATTCACTGCTCGACTGAAGGAACTTACAGATAATTGTATGTGTGGGGTACAGAGATGGTAGTCATAGATAGGTAGTTATTCAACAATCATGTTAAACACTATTATTGCACACACAGTCCATGGAACTTATTATGTGACTTATTAAGCACATTTTTACTCCTGAACTTATTTAGGCTTGCCATAACAAAGGGTTGAATACTCATTGACTCAAGACATTTCAGCTTTTCAATTTGTAAAAATTTAGAAAAACATCATTCCGCTTTAACATTATGGTGTATTGTGTGTAGGCCAGTGAACAAAAATCTCAATTTAATCTATTTTATATTCAGGCTGTAACACAACAAAATGTGGAAAAAGTCAAGGGGTGTGAATACTTTCTGAAGGCACTATAGTACATTTTAAAGCTTACGTACTTAAGAAATAGTACGTTTTGTGTGTGATGATGAACTGGATGTATGTGCACTCTACTTGGCCCCTCAGAGTCTGCAGGACCTGTTGGCGTCGGAGAACCAGCTGGTGGTGCTAGAGTGCCGTGTTAAAGGGGTGCCCTCCCCCAAGGTGGACTGGTACAGAGAAGGAACTGTCATAGAGGACTCCCCTGACTTCAGGATCCTGCAGAAGAGTAAGTCCAACTCATTTACTATGTTTTAGAATAATGTACAATTCATCTTATGATATTTTCTGTGATGTACAACAATTCTCTTGTATTAGTTCATTAGGACATTTCCACTGATATGGAGCTATCTTTAAAATGATTCATTGTAAGCATTCTGAAAACTGTAAAAGTATCTAAAATATACTTTTAAAGTATCTAAAAAAGATCTGAATGCAAGTTTTTTAGTAGGCAACATGAGAAGCTCTGTGATTTTAAACAATTATATATATATTAGCATTTTCTTATTTTTTAGAGCCTCGATCCATGGCTGAATCAGGTATGTATTATTCAAAGGAGAGACTGTCATGGTACAATTAATGGAATTGTAAAATCTTAAGATGGAGCATATTTCTGCGTGTATCAAAGTATTTGGTGTGGTGTGTTACTGAATAGTAAATTGTATTCAAAATAGATACAATACAACATTTGGAAAACCCGACTGGTGCTTCCCTCAGAAAGTCAATATTCTACTGTAGCCTAAGGGATGTTTTCTATGAAACAGTGTACACCATTTCTCTTCCAAGATGTTTACAGTATCTGGCTGGGGCTGTAGCTACTGTAACCCCTCTGAGTAACAGCCAGTTTACTTCTCCTCCTAACACTCAACCTTATAAGGAAGCTTACTTGGTCACAGAGCCTTTCAGAGTATCTGAAACACAGGGAAGCACTCGTGATTGGAAACAAATGTAGCTGCTGTGCCATTGGAAACACGGCTCACTCACAGCATATCACAGGCAGCTGGTGGCACCTTAATTGGGGAGTACGGGCTCATAGTAATGGCTGGAACGGAATTAATGGAATGGTATCCAACCCATCAAACACATGGTTTCCATGTGTTTGATCCCATTCCATTGACTCCATTCTAGCCATTACTATGAGCCTTCCTCCCCTCAGCAGCCTCCTGTGCAGCATATGTATTATATGAATGCGTACTAGTTCTCTGTATCTTAGACAACATATTGAGTAATAGCTATACATAGAAATTCAGATATATTTTACAATGCAGAGGCTTACTGCCTGTTTCTTTTTCTCTGTGCATGCTGTATACATAACGGTAGGTTAGCTACATAGTACAGCTGCAATGCTGTTCTAGTAACTTCTCTGCCCTTTAATCTATGAGTCATGTTGCCTGAACTTCAACAGTGACATTCAGCTGGTGCTACCCTCATCTCCCTCATTTTGTATTCCCTTTAGAGGAAATATGCACTTTGGTTATTGCTGAGGTCTTCCCTGAAGATTCTGGAACGTTCACTTGCACTGCAAGCAACAAATATGGAACTGTATCCAGTATCGCTGCACTAAGGGTGAAAGGTAACGTCACTGGCTTACAAACAAGGTTTAGACTTGACAGTTCTATTAGTAAGATTATATTTGGAGACTGTTTACAGTTTCTAGTGAAAATCTACACACACTTGCACAGTTTGTCTAAAAATTGATTCGATTTTCCCATGAATTTTCCCATTGATTTCCTATACATAAAATGTCCACTGATCTACACAACCTATTCCACATTTTCCAGGTGAAAGAAAAATTATATAATTTTTCTATTAAAAAACACTCACAAAAAACGAAAGAAGTCTTGATGTTGAAGGTCTTCACACCACTTGCCGTGGCACATCTAAATTAAGGAGCAAATATTTTCATACAAAATCCCACAACAATCCATCAGTTTGCAATAGTTGTGGTTTTAATAGTGCTGAGCATTAACTGAAATGTTGGTTATTTTGACCGATGTTGGTTCAATTAATTGAATTGCATTTTGTTCAGGTTTTTTCTGAGCTCAATGCACACGTTGAGCGGTTTCTCTAGAGATAAATCAGATCAAACCGAACTGTGCAATGTAGTAGGGAGTTGTAGTTTCCAATAGGCCAATATTCTACATAGTTTACCTCAGAAAACGTGGTAATGAACTACAATGACCATACTCCATTGCGGGCCTACTTGTCCGGTCAGTGTGTTTCTTTTACGCCTGTTACAGTAGGTTAGTGTGGGGCAGACACGGAGAGAAGAGACAGAAGAATGGGAAGAGACAGAAGAATGCACGATCGAGTGGAATAGAGAGCAGTTGCTTCGCGAGGTATCTCTACCTGAAAATACATGATCTAAGTGATTGATATTGGTTTTCAGCAGTCATAAAATTATGGTTTATTTACTTTCAAGAACTACTAAAATTGTGATATTGTCAGACAGCATAGGCAGCAGCTCTAAAGAAATGAGACGATGACTTGGAATGTAATAATAAAGCCATCAAACAAAACAAATGTTATGTTCACAACAACTGAAATATTTTATTCAAATCAAATCAAATTTTATTTGCCACATGCGCCGTATACAACAGGTGTAGACATTACCGTGAAATGCTTACTTACAGCCCTTAACCAACAATGCATTATTTTTTTTATAAAAAAGTAAAATAAAACAACAACAACAAAAAAGTGTTGAGAAAAAAAGAGCAGAAGTAAAATAAAATAACAGTAGGGAGGCTATATACAGGGTGGTACCGGTGCAGAGTCAATGTGCGGGGGCACCGGCTAGTTGAGGTAGTTGAGGTAATATGTACATGTGGGTAGAGTTAAAGTGACTATGCACAAATAATTAACAGAGTAGCAGCAGCGTAAAAAGATGGGGTGGGGGTGGGGGGGCAGTGCAAATAGTCCGGGTAGCCATGATTAGCTGTTCAGGAGTCTTATGGCTTGGGGATAGAATCTGTTGAGAAGCCTTTTGGACCTAGACTTGGTGCTCCGGTACCACTAGCCGTGCGGTAGCAGAGAGAACAATCTATGACTAGGGTGGCTGGAGTCTTTTACAATTTTGAGGGCCTTCCTCTGACACCGCCTGGTATAGAGGTCCTGGATGGCAGGAAGCTTGGCCCCAGTGATGTACTGGGCCGTACGCACTACCCTCTATAGTGCCTTGCGGTCGGAGGCCTAGCAGTTGCCATACCAGGCGGTGATGCAACCAGTCAGGATGCTCTCGATGGTGCAGCTGTAGAACTTTATGAGGATCTGAGGACCCATGCCAAATCTTTTCAGTCCCCTGAGGGGGAATAGGCTTTGTTGTGCCCTCTTCACGACTGTCTTGGTGTGTTTGGACCATGATAGTTCGTTGGTGATGTGGACACCAAGGAACTTGAAGCTCTCAACCTGTTCCACTACAGCTCCGTCGATGAGAATGGGGGCGTGCTCAGTCCTCTTTTTTTCCTGTAGTCCACAATCATCTCCTTTGTCTTGGTCACGTTGAGGGAGAGGTTGTTATCCTGGCACCACACGGCCAGGTCTCTGACCTCCTCCCTATAGGCTGTCTCATCGTTGTGTCGTCGGCAAACTTAATGATGGTGTTGGAGTCGTGCCTGGCCATGCAGTCATGGGTGAACAGGGAGTACAGGAGGGGACTGAGCACGCACCCCTGAGGGGCCCCCGTGTTGAGGATCAGTGTGGCAGATGTGTTGTTACCTACCCTTGCCACCTGGGGGCGGCCCGTCAGGAAGTCCAGGATCCAGTTGCAGAGGGAGGTGTTTAGTAAAGTAATGTGAATAAATTATTGTCAATAAGTGATTAGCAGTAATGGGCAGTCACTACCATCACGGAACATTTATTAATTGTTTTATTCTGTGTTATAGCATTCAACCCACATAAGCATTTCATGTTCTACAATAACCGTGAATATTTGTTTATAATAGAACTGAAACCGAACTGACCTCAAAAGGCACCAATGAGCTTTAAAAGCATGGGATAAATGTTTAGACAGGCATAGATCAGGGGAGGTTAAGAAATAATTAAAAGACACTGAATATCCCTTTGAGTATAGTTAAGTATGATAATTCGTCTGTGTATGATATACATTTACATTTTAGTCATTTAGCAGAAGCTCTTATCCAGAGCGACTTACAGTTAGTGAATACATATATATATTTTTTTATACTGGCCCCCCGTGGGAATCGAACCCACAACCATGGCGTTGCAAACGCCATGCTCTATCAACTGAGCTACATCCCTGCCGGCCATTCCCTCCCCTACCCTGGACGATGCTGGGCCAATTGTGCGCCGCCCATGAGTCTCCCGGTCGCGGCTGGCTGCGACAGAGCCTGGATTCGAACCAGGATCTCTAGTGGCACAGTTAGCACTGCGATGCAGTGCCTTAGACCACTGCGCCACTCAGGAGTACATCATATCACCCAGACACTGCAAAGATCTGGCCATCCTTTCTAATTGAGCTGCGAGAGAAAATGGAAACTGTTCAGAGACATCACTATGAGGTTTAGGATTATTTTAAAACAGCCACATAATTCATTGGCTGAGCTGAGAGAAAACTGTGCATGGATCAACAACATTGCATTCACTTCACATTACTGGCCTGTATGAAAAAGTGAAAAGAAGAAAACCTGTGTTAAAAAATCCACTCTGTTAAGTAATACTGCAAGACAACATGGGAAAGAAATGAACTTTTTGGCCTAAATTGAAAACTTCAGGTATGGGTTAAATCCAATACAACACATTACAGAGTGAAACCCTCTGTACTTTCACAAATATTGTGATGGCAGCATCATGTTATGGGTATGCTTGTCACTGGCAGGGACTATGGAGTTTGTCAGGATCAAAATAAATAGACAGGAGCAAAGCCCAGTTTAAAAGTAAGAGGAAGACCTGTCTTCTGAATACCTAACCCTGGAATAGAGTTTTATTTTTCAACGGGACAATTACACAAATTGTAATGTCTAAGACACACCAGAATGGCTTTTTAAATAGGTGTTAAGTATTCCTGAGTGGTCCATTCTCAGTCCTGGGTGTTGACTTAAATATGCTTGAAAATCAGAGAAATTGTTTGAATATTGTTGTCCATCAATGATTCACAACTAAATTTACTGAGCTTCAGCAATTTTGACAAAAACAATGGATAAATGTTGCCCTAAGAGTTGTGCAAAGCTGGTAGAATCTTATTCAAAATAATTCACAGGTGTAATTGCTGCCAAAGGTGCTTCCACCAATTATTAACTCTGGGTTGTGAAGATATATACAATCAATGCATCTTTGTTTAATGTTCTATAATTTTTCTTTCACTTTGAAAATGTGGATCAGTTGGAGTTAATTTCAAGGCAGCAAAATGTGAAAACTGTGCAAGTGGTGTGTAGACTTTCACTAGGCACTGTACTTATCCTTCTCTCTGTACCTCATTAGGCAATGATAACACCAACAGCAACCACGTGAAAACTCCACACAAGTCCACACAAGTTCCAGAGCCCTCTTCATTAGATCTCACTCCCCCCAGTCTAAAGCCTCAAGCTGAGGTTCCTGTGACCAACAGCATCAAGCCTCACTCCAGCACCATCCGCCTGGATCCCCTCAGTTCCAGCACGTTAAGACTGGACCCTCTGACCACCAGTACCCTCCGTCTAGACCCTCTGAGCTCCAGCATGCTGCGCCAGGACCCTGTCAGCATCAGCATGCCCAGCCTGGACCCACTAAGCCTGGGCAGCAGCCCCAGGATAGGCACCCGTAGCTCCAGTACATCTTGTCTGGATCCACTCTACCTGAGCACCCCTCACCCAGACCTGCCTACTAGCTCCAGCAGGCTACACCCTGAGCCCCAGAGCAGTGGTGAGGTGCCTAAGACTGACCATGAAGACTCCAGAGCCTTCTCAGTGTTATCAGACCCTGCCATTGGTCTGAGTCCCAAGGTGGAAGGGACTCCTTTCCATAAACCTGAGCCCCCTCCCCCTGTAAACCTCCCTGATCCCCCCACCTCCTCCTGCCTCAAGCCTGGGGTTCTGGTGAGCCACAACGGGCCCAGGTCCAGCTCCAGGGTAGGCCTCCGTGTGCACTTTAAACTGCCAGAGGATGAAACAGACAACGAGAGTGAAACATCCGATAGCCATTCATATGAAGATATGTCACAGTTGGCCAATAAGGAACCACCTCCAGTCCTGGCCAAGCCCAAACTGTGAGTACTGCTTGACATGGTCAAATAACTCAAGCATAGATTGGTGACTTTTTTTCTAATTTGACACACAGAAACAAGAGGCCATGAGTAACTTGGTCAGAAAGAATAGCACCTATTGGCCTATAGGTGGTGCTGTTATAAGCAGTCTCACTTAAAACCAAATATCCGCCGCCCCGTTTGACCTAGAGACTTGAAACTGTGTATATACAGTACCAGTCAAATGTTTGGAGACACCTACTCATTCAAGGGTTTTTCTTTATTTTTTACTATTTTTTACATTGTAGAATAATAGTGAATACATCAAAACTATGAAATAACACATATGGAATCATGTAGTAACCAAAAAAGTCTTAAACAAATCAAAATGTATTTTATATTTGAGATTGTTCAAATAGCCACCCTTTGCCTTGATGACAGCTTTGCACACTCTTAGCATTCTCTCAACCAGCTTCACCTGGAATGCTTTTCCAACAGTCTTGAAGGAGTTCCCACATATGCTGAGCACTTGTTGGCTGCTTTTCCTTCACTCTGCCATCCGACTCATCCCAAACCATCTCAATTGGGTTGAGGTCGGTAGATTGTGGAGGCCAGGTCATCTGATGCAGCACTCCATCACTCTCCTTCTTGGTAAAATAGCCCTTACACAGCCTGGAGGTGTGTTGGGTCATTATCCTGTTGAAAAACAAATGATAGTCCCACTAAGCCCAAACCAGGTGGGATGGCATATCGCTGCAGAATGCTGTGGTAGCCATGCTGGTTAAGTGTGCCTTGAATTCTAAATAAATCACAGACAGTGTCACCAGCAAAGCACCCCCACACCATAACACCTCCTCCTCCATGCTTTACGGTCGGAAATACACATGTGGAGATCATCCGTTTACCCACAGCGCGTCTCACAAAGACACAGCGGTTTGAACCAAAAATCTCCAATTTGGACTCCAGACCAAAGGACAGATTTCCACCGGTCTAATGTCCATTGCTCGTGTTTCTTGGCCCAAGCAGGTCTCTTCTTCTTATTGGTGTCCTTTAGTAGTGGTTTCTTTGCCGCAATTCGACCATGAAGGCATGATTCAGACAGTCTCCTCTCAATTTGACCATGAAGGCCTGATTCACACAGTCTCCTCTGAACGGTTGATGTTGATGTGTCTGTTACTTGAACTCTGTGAAGCATTTATTTGGGCTGCAATTTCTGAGGCTGGTAACTCTAATGAACTTATCCTCTGCAGCAGAGGTAACTCTGGGTCTTCCATTCCTGTGGCGGTCCTCATGAGAGCCAGTTTCATCATAGCGCTTGATGGTTTTTGCGACTGCACTTGAAGAAACGTTCAAAGTTCTTGAAATGTTCCGTATTGAATGACCTTCATGCCTTAAAGTAATGAGCTGTTGTTGCCATAATATGGACTTGGTCTTTTATCAAATAGGGCTATCTTCTATATACCCCCCCCCCCCCCCCCCCCCCCCCCCCCCTACCTTGTCACAAACGCATTAAGAAGGGAAATCAATTCCACAAATTAACTTTTAAGAAGGCACACCTGTTAATTGAAATGCATTCCAGGTGACTACCTCATGAAGCTGGTTGAGAGAATGCCAAGAGTGTGCAAAGCTGTCATCAAGGCTAAGGGTGGCTATTTGAAGAATCTCAAATATAAAATATGATTTTGATTTGTTTAACACTTTTTTGGTTATTACATGATTCCATATGTGTTATTTCATAGTTTTGATGTCTTCACTATTATTCTACAATGTAAAAATAGAGAAAAACCCTTGAATGAGTAGGTGTGTCCAAACTTTCGACTGGTAGTGCAGGTGTCTTTCCTCATGCTGAACAAATGTGCCTCTAGGACCCATAAGGCCCGTCAGGATCGATTATCCACCATCTTGGAAATGTTGGAAAACGTTTGAAACCATACGTCCAAATAGCACCAAATTCGGTATGTAGGCCCATGGTACATCTCTTAACTTAGTTTGAGAAAAGCTAGGGTTAAGAGATGGCTGAGTTATTGATAAATCAGAAAGTCAGATTGTACATGTCCATTTAAATCCTTTCTAAATCCACTTCACAATGCCCTATCATCTTGAAACGTTTTAGGGTCATCAAAGACGTTACCATGATGAACCATGTTAAAAGTGCAATATGCAGAAATCGCTCCTCCATTTCCTGGTTGCTAAAATTCTAATAATTCCCCTAATTTAAGTTTATGTGACAAAACAAGTGTAGAGAATCATTGTACCATCTAAACCGATTTGAAATATATTTTTTATAACCAAAAATATTGTATTTTCAGCTGTTTGAAACTGGTGTATAAACCCAAAAGTAAAAGATGCAGAAACGAAATAGTGCACATAGAACAGATCTACCGCTTCTTAGATTTGCTGTCAATGAGAATGACAGATAAGGAAACTATTAACAATTAACTTTTTTTACTATGTAACACTAATGCCTAAAATAATCATAAGAAAATATTCTCATGGACTAAAAGTCATATTCACTAAAAATGTGGTCTTTGGACTCATTACAATAGTCCCTAAAGAGTGAGAAAATAATGTAATGCATTCAAACATGGCCACACTATACCAGTAGATGCATATTAGCACATACGCTAAAATGTGCTAAAATACTTTGTTTCCGAGGCAGAACATCTGTTTTAGGGAGATGCTGGTTTATCACATGCAAAATGTCCTTTCGTAGGACACCTGGAGCCAAAGTCATTAATATCCGTTGGGTGATTGGTTGAGGCGTCTTGGGTGAGTGACGTCACTCCAAGCCCTTACCAAAACACAAAACATGGCGGACAGTTTCTCTCGCCTTGGATCTTAAACCAGTAGTGACCACTAACTTCAATGACAGTAAACTTGCCTGCCTTTCTTAAACCTCTCCTCGGGAATCCCCAGGTATTCCATGTATTTGGTCTATTCGAGAGCTAGTGTTAGAAATTGCATAATTCAAATCTGGTATTGGAATAAGAATCAAGAGATCTTCAATCCAAGCTAAATTTATTATATGCAAAATGTATGTATGATAAGTATGAAGGTTCGTATATACGGGTCCACTGAAATACCTCGCAGGGCACTCAGAGAACTAATCCATTGTTACAGGTTCTTCTTCAAATACTCTGACAGAGATAGTTCCCACCTCTCTGCTGGCCAATCAGAGTAGAGACTGAGCGTGGTTTAGACTTACTCAGCCAATCCGTTGGCGCACGGGCTGGTCCCAACCCCTTGGCGCTCCACCGTTCCCAGGCATAAGTTTATCATAACAACCTGTGGAGTCAGCACCCAAAAGACTGTACGTTCCTACGTCCAAGGACGGTTCACAGACAACAAAGAGGCAGTGTTCGTATCTGTAAGAAATACAAGTCTTATCTGTCCTTCCCCCTAACGTTCCTTACATGAATCACAGCCTGTTATGTGAAACAATTTATATCAGTATAGTACAAACCTTTTATGCTTTAATCATTAATGCATTCTTTCTAAGTTAGTCATCCCTTCCATATTATGAGAATAATAAATCCCCACACTAGCACACCTGATTCAACTGATTAACTAATTAATCATCAAGCCCTTGACTAGTTGAATCAGGTGAGCTAATTCAGGGCTACAACAAAATTGTGAAACGAATGAGGGTCCCCGAGGAGAGGTTTGAGAACCACAGAGCTAGACTGCTTCTAGACTTGGGAGCTTGGCGTTAGATTATTCCACCATTGGCAACAACAACTGGCTACTAGAACTGAACCGATGGACATGAAATTTGGTATGTAAGCTTTATGTATATGTCCTTAGAAGCTGTATGAATATAAATTCACTGCAACCTTAGATGGCTGCACCAGACCAGTTGGCACCCATGGCACCATAGGATACTAGAGCAATAACTATTTTTCAAGAGGACTTTGTCTCATGCAAATGAATGTCACATTTAGATTATGCAGACGAACAATGTGAAATATTGTGATTAGTATAATCCCATATTGTTGCCCTATTATATGGTCTGAATGTAGTGAAAGGTGGATCTATTATTCGGTAAAACTAGAAACTGGAAGTCTTGCCACTTGCGCAGTCAGTGTATTACAGCTGTGAGAGTGTATTGAAGTATTTTGGAAGGCTAATGTGGAGTGTACCAACTGAGATTTAAATCAACATGGTAATTATTTCACTGATTGCACATAAAGGAAGATAGTTCCTACAAGAGAGTGCTTGCTTTGTTATCCAACTGATCTTGTCCTTTCTGTCATCTGATGAACCCCGTGCATTGCTGCTCGCAGCTATATTTCTTAAGTATTTTTCAATTTATTTGGTATCACTTAACTTAAGACAAATCCTAACTTAAGACAAAATCCCACGACTCAAAGTGACAGCCTCAAATGATATGGTGAAAAATGTTAATATCTAGTCAGACAACAAACCATTTGTTTTACATTTTTACATTTACATTTTAGTCATTTAGCAGACGCTCTTATACAGAGCGACTTACAGTTAGTGAGTGCATACATTTTTCATACTGTTTTATCACTATTGTTTCCCTAAATTTGCACCTACAGTTGATTTTATGATGAAAACTTTTAATTCTAAAAGTAATTCTAAAAAGTGTTTGGTCTCAGTCTCGTGATGTATTTTTTCATTTGCGGTCCTTGTTTTGAAGTGAAGCAAGCAGCTTGAGTTGTGTGGGCTGAATTTAGAACAGTAAACATTGGAGGTGGGAGGGTCTCCTCTTGAGCTCCCTATCTGCAGTTTTCATTTGTCTACTGAATACATATCTGTGCTTAACTATGTGGAGTTTAAAACTACAAAAAACTAAGGATGGCCATTTCTTAATGTAAGTGCAATTTTATGCTTTTGCGCATGCTAGAAATCTTTGCACACTGGCATTGTGTTTGTAATTTTTTTGTTGGAAGAAAAAAGTGTGTATGCCGCTAAGATTAAGTGTTTTGCATAGTGTTAATAATAATAATTGATTCTGCGACAATAAGTTATTGTCTCCTTTTCACTTTACGTTATCAAAGTGACTGATATTGAATGTAAAACTAATGTAAAAAAATGGAATAAGGTTGCAATGAAAGGTTTTCTTATACCAATCATGATACAGCACATTACTGACATTTTCAGTTGCAGAGTGTGTTTAGAGTCTGGATGCTCCCTGGATGCTCCTATACCTTAAAAGGGCAGACTATTTCCCCAACCTGCCCCTGAAAGGCACATTGTGGTCATTACTTTTTAGGGAACTGTGTTTAGAGTATTTGTAGTTATTTGTTGACGAACACATTAACACTTTTGAACAAATATATGGTTTTTATTATAGCTTGGTCTCAGATCTGTTTATACTGTCTTGCCAACTTCTGTGGTTTGGCGTGACAATGACCATAGGATTTGGCAAGACAGCACAAACCGATCTGGGACCAGGCTAGTTTTATTATACACTGAGTATACCAAACATTAGGAACACCTTCCTAATATTGAGTTGCATCCCCCCTTTTGCCCTCAGAACAGCCTCAATTCGTCAGAGCATGGACTCTATAAGGTGTCGAAAGCGTTCCACAGGGATGCTGGCCCATGTTGACTCCAATGCTTCCCACAGTTGTGTCAAGTTGGCTGGATGTCCTTTGGGTGGTGGATCATTCTTGATACACATGGGAAACGGTTGAGTGTGAAAAACCCAGCAGCGCTGCAGTTCTTGACACAAACCACCTAGCACCTACTACCATACCCTGTTCAAAGGCACTTAAATCTTTTGTCTTGCCCATTCACCCTCTGAATGGTACACATACACAATCCATGTCTCAATGGTCTCAAGGCTTAAAAATCCTTCTTTAACCTGTCTCCTCCCCTTCATCTACACTGATTGAAGTGAATTTAACAAGTGACATCAATAAGGGATCATAGCTTTCACGTGGATTCATCTGGTCAGTCTATGTCATGGAAATAAAAAAGTTTTGTATACTCAGTATGTAAAGTTTTCATGTTTTTAACATCTTCCATCTCTGTTTTCTCAGAGACCCTGTCCAGCTGCAGCTTCTACACAACCAGGTGCTCATGGAGCAGCAGCAGACTGACACTGAGCCAACCGGAGCCACCCAGAGCCAACCGGAGGCATCTGCCTGGCCAGCCCGGAAGCAACCCGAGCCCCAGGCCCAGCTCCAGCACCAGCAAAGCCTGCCCCGTTCATCTACCCCAATGCCCCTGCAGTCCACCCACCCTGCACCCATACTGGCCATAGCCCCAACACCCTTACTCAACTTCACCCCTGTGACAACACTGAACACTACCCCTGCACCCCAGCTAAACACTAGTCCCCCTGCACCCCAGCTAAACATTGCCTCTGCACCACTACTGAACCCATACGCCACCCATTCTTATTTTCCTTCTTCTTCTTCTTCTTCTTTACCCCTGCTAAACACAAGCCCGGTATCACCAATAAACACTACCTCTGCACTGCTACAGAACACAGCCCCTCCTGCACCCATTATGGGTACCCTGCCGTCCCCTCCTCAACTGAAGACAGGTTCATCTTTTATGAGCTCCCCTCCATCTGCCCCTCTGCTGAGCACTGTCCTTGCACCCCACCTGTATACCATTCCTGCATCCCCACCCTATATGACCCTGCAAAACACCACCCATTCTTCCCAGCTGAACTTAGCCCCCTTATCCCTGCCTAAAACTATTCACGTACCCCAGTTTAACACACCTCTCGTACCTCATCTGAATACAGCCCCCACAGCATCTCTCAGCACCATCCCAGCAGCTTTCAACAGGGCCCCTACAACCGTGCAGAACACCTCCCCCTCCCCCCTACTCAGAACAACTCATGCCTCCCTCCTCAACCTGGCCCCCACTTCACAGAGCTTCAACTACGCCAGGCCAAAAGAGTTTATCACTACCCAGACTCCCCTTTCTCCAGTCAGGAGTCCCTCCCCTACAGAGTCCCCCGTTCCGTTGCTCCACGAGCTGGCTGCCGAGCTCAACTCCTCCAACCCCAACCTGTTCTCTCCACAACCCAGAGTCTTCCCCACCAGAGTCCTCAAGTCACCCACTAGCCCCCCTTCCTTCATGTCCTCCCCCACCTCTCCCACCCTGTTGCCTGCTGCCTACCTAAACTCTGTGTTCACCCTGCCACAGCAGTCGCCCCCACAGGCAGCGTCCCCGACCTCCAGCACCTCCACCCCCAGCCCCATCCAGAACCATGTGGCCTTCCTCAGCTCTGTCCTGCCCTCTCTACACACCACACAAGCCACCAACTCTATGGGCCTGCCCAGGAGTGCTCATGGGTAAGACCCTATGGTTGCTGAATTCCGGAAACATTCCCAAAGTTCCCAGGTTTTTCTAGAAATCCCTGTTGGAGGATTCCTGGAATCGGGAGGGAATAAGCAGGGGCGGAATCCTTCAACTCTGAATCCTCCAACCGGGATTTTAGAGAACTCTGGGAACTTTGGACCTCTTACCTCACACTTCAATTCATCATGTTACAGTTTTATATATTGTAAAATACATTTTTGCTCATTTGTTTTGATCCACAGGCCACCTCAAGGCATGCAGAAGAAGTTGCCTACAAGCACACGTCCTATGTCAGATGTTGACATTCGTAGCAGCCAACAAACCCTCCTCCAGGATATGGAGAAAAAGCTTAGGTTCAATGAAGATGTTATGCGTGGTCATGTACAACAGGTATCGGCTATATCCCTTCAATTGTACTGTTATTCCCTGAGGCACAGACCTTCCATTATAGATTGGGCTTAATGACTGAATATGCAACTAAATGAACGAGTACTTGGTTGATGTAGTAATATGGCTTGGAGTGGAACCATCAAGGAACAGAGTGATCGCAAATAAATAAAGTATTATTCTTCTACAAATTATTTTCAACCCAACACATTCCTTCAAACATTTCAAAAGACTACAAAGTGGAGACTGCATGGCGCATTCTCACTTTCTTCCAATTTGCTATTCTGGCATACGTAATACAATTCTATTTTGTTCTCCTTTTACATTGCAAGTGTAGTAAAGGGATACAATGTGAAACAATATGGAAGCAGTTCGAAAATGCATTCATCTAAACCGAGAGATCAGCAGTGCATCATTCCTTTTCCAATCAATAATTTTCCATATTCATTCATCAAGTATATGTACCATATAACAGCATGCAGATCATATCAATCACACATTACTCACAAATTAGTGGTAGTGATGTGTGTGTCTGTGTTCATTAGTGTGTGTGTGTTTGTGTTCATCAATCATCCTTATCTTCTCATAGAAGCAGACTACTTATGAGGGGAAAACAGTGAGGAGACCCCTCGGACCAAACATTCCTGCCACTGTCTTTAACTATGACGAGGTACAGCGAATATCTCTCCCTCCCAAGCATTCCTTTGCTCAGAACTTTTGGTAACACATTACATTAAGTTGCTCTTAAACCTGTGCTGAAAGACTGTATTTACGGCAGTAACGACATTAGATTAACATGTTAATACGGTGCATTCGGAAAGTATTCGGACCCCTTGACTTTTTCCACATTTTGTTACGTTACAGCCTTATTCTAAAATTGTTTGTTTTTTTGTTAGCTTTTTTTCCCGTCATCAATCTACACCCAATACCACATAATGTCAAAGCAAAAACAGTTTTTTTAGAAATGTTTGCAAATATATAAATTAAAAAAATGGAAAGATCAAATTTACATAAGTATTCAGACCCTTTACTCAGAACTTTGTTAAAGCACCTTTGGCAGCGATTACAGCCTCGAGTCTTCTTGGGTATGACGCTACAAGCTTGGCACACCTGTATTTGGGGAGTTTCTTCCATTCTTTGCAGATCCTCTCAAGCTCTGTCAGGTTGGATGGGGAGCGTTGCTGCACAGCTATTTTCAGGTCTCTCCAGAGATGTTCGATCGGGTTCAAGTCCGAGCTCTGGCTGGGCCACTCAAGGACATTGAGACTTGTCCCGAAGCCACTCCTGTGTTGTCTTGGCTGTGTGCTTAGGGTCGTTGTCCTGTTGGAAGGTGAACCTTCACCCCAGTCTGAGGTCCTGAGTGCTCTGGAGCAGGTTTTCATCAAGGATCTCTCTGTATTTTGCTCCGTTCATCTTTCCCTTTATCCCACAGCATGATGCTGCTACCACCATGCTTCACCGTAGGGATGGTGCCAGGTTTCCTCCAGACGTGACACTTGGCATTCAGGCCAAAGAGTTCAATCTTGGTTTCATCAGACCAGAGAATCTTGTTTCTCATGGTCTGAGAGTCCTTTAGGTGCCTTTTGGCAAACTCCAAGCGTGCTGTCATGTGCCTTTTACTGAGGAGTGGCTTCTGTCTGGCCACTCTACCATAAAGGCCTGATTGGTGGAGTGCTGCAGAGATGGTTGTCCTTCTGGAAGGTTCTCCCATCTCCACAGAGGAACTCTGGAGCTCTGTCAGAGTGACCATTGGGTTCTTGACCAAGGCCCTTCTCCCCTGATTGCTCAGTTTGGCCGGGTGGCCAGCTCTAGGAAGAGTCTTGGTGGTTCCAAACTTCTTCCATTTAAGATAGATGGAGGCCACTGTGTTCTTGGGGACCTTCAACGCTGCAGACAGTTTTTGGTACCCTTCCCCAGATCTGTGCCTCGACCACAACCCTGTCTCGGAGCTCTACGGACAATTCCTTAGAACTCATGGCTTGGTTTTTGCTCTGACATGCACTGTCAACTGTGGGACCTTATATAGACAGGTGTGTGCCTTTCCAAATCATGTCCAATCAACTACATTTACCACAGGGGGACTCCAATCAAGTTGTAGAAACATCTCAAGGATGATCAATGGAAACAGGATTCAGCTGAGCTCAATTTCGAGTCTCATAGCAAAGTGTCTGAATACTTATGTAAATAAGGTATTTCAGTTTTTTATATATTTGCTGAAATTTCAAAAAACCTGTTTTCACTTTGTCGTTATGAGGTATCGTGTGTAGATTACTGAGAAAACAAATATTTAATCATTTTTTGAATAAGGCTGTAACGTAACAAAGTGTGGAAAAAGGGAAGGGGTCTGAATACTTTCTGAATGCAATAGTACTTCAGTAATTGCTTAATGGAGTTGAACTTTTTTTGTAATTACACAAGAGGAATAGGGACTGTTCCTTATTACACTTGCATAATAACTACAACCACTCAAGCCCATTACAATTACAAAGCGATAAAAAATATTGCATATTGTGAGTGTAGTAATTACAGCGTTACTATACAGGTATAAGAGCAACTTAATGTAAAGTGTTAGTGAATGTTCAAAACAGGTTTTAAGTAGTATGTATGGATGTATACTCATATATCCAAACACTGTAGTTTGAATAATCATTCTAATCAGGCACTTTTAAAGTATTTGTTCACTAATATCCGTTGCATGAATAATCCAAACAATTTCCAAACTGAAGGTATACATATTGCCAACACTCATGTAATGTAATGCCCCAAATAGGCTGAGGTATATGACATTCTAAGATTTGAGCAACCTTCAACGTTTCTTGAGTATAAATGTGCATAAAAACATTCCTTTAAAATATTACATTTCAACTGATGCCATGGATCTCATCTGTTGTCCCTCTGAAAGTAATGATGTTGTAATATTGTCATAATTTCCCGACATTTCAGAGACCACCTTCATTACCACTAAAGTTATCTTTTCAGTTCCATTACCTTAGGTCCTCAGGAGAAAAATGAATTACCCAGTGTTGAAAAATCTTGAAATTATGAAAAAAAGTATACTTTTTGAGAAAGAAATATACGGATCAACAAACAAAACTACTGTACAATTTTAATTGTTGAATTGATATGTTCTTTGATATTTTGCAAGAATGCTTAGCTTGATATTTCAGTCCAAATGTGTTCTCTGTTTTACCCTCAACTTCTGTTGTATTTTGTGTAGTAGGACCAGTCCAATATCAAGGGAGGAATGCCACTGCATGATAACTTTTAAAGTTTAAAGCTAAACTCCTCATCTCTTTTTCTGCCCACAGTGAGACCAGATCATTTGTCTTTGTAAACTGAGGGCTGGCAAATGTAACTGCCACTTTTGAATCAAAATGCTACTTTTTGAATCAAAATAGATTGAGGAGTACATCTTTAACCATGGTTGGGATTCAATTCCATTTCATTCCACTGAAATTCCAATTCCAATGTTCTTCATTACTTTTCAATTAGGATTATTGGAATTGGATTGAGTTCCACCCTGCCTTTAACACAATATCAGGATTGCTTAGTGGTGAAATTGTGCTCTGGGTCTGATTCCTCTGTAATCTACTCAAGTAAATACTCACCCAAACAGTTTCTGAAATGTATCCCCATTCCATCTGGCTAAAGTGTTTGATAAAATATCTGAATTGGTGAATATGTTTTCTTCACTACATGCAGGAGTCTCTACCATTATAGCAGGTGTCATACTATTTTATTCCTGCCATAGCATAATTATTTTCAGCATCTTGGTTTTTAATATTTGGTTTATTTTTAAGTTCTATACTGTGCACATGATATGATACCTAGATATTTATTACAACATTGATGCTCTTTTTAGTTTTGCTGCAATTTAATTTATGCAACGCAAGCACTATAATGACTTACACTATTGGTATGACCACAGCAATTACTTTTATCCAGCGGTCTTCCTTTATTTTAGGAGTACAAAGTTTCGAACTTTGAGCAGAGGCTGATGAGTGAGATAGAGTTCCGTCTGGAACGCACGCCAGTCGAGGAGTCCGATGACGAGGTACAACACGATGAGAGCCCAACAGGGAAGTGCATCGCACCCATATTTGACAAGAAGCTGAAGAACTTCAGGGCCATGGAGGGTGTGCCTATGACATTCTCCTGTAAAGTGGTGGGGATCCCCGTACCTAAGGTGAGACAGCACATCTATGGTATCTAAATATGTTATCACCCAGACTGTTTTTTAGCAGAGGTTTTCATCCAAAGTGCCTTACAATACAGTGAGTACAAATATTTTTTGCATGAGATCCCATCAGAAATGGAATCCACAACCTTAGTGTTGCACTATCAATGCTCTTACCAACTGAGCCACACAGGACCACACAGACTGTTGATGTTTTATTAGCTAACACCATGCAGGAAGGACAGAGGCCTCTGCTTGTTTGGGTCTCTCTTTTGGATCATATTTGGTGGTCGCCCGGGATCTGGACTTTGATATGGCAGTTAATCTGTATGTACACCACACAGTGAGTGGACATATACTCAACATTTGTTAGAAATCTCCCTCTCTCTTCAACCCATTTCAGGTTTACTGGTTCAAGGATGGCAAGCAGATCTTGAGGAAAAATGATCATTATAAAAAGATAAGAGAGGGGGACGGAACCTGTGCCTTACACATAGAGGTCACCAATAACGACGATGATGGCAACTACACTGTCATGGCAGCTAACCCCCAGGTAACCTAACCACCTGTAATTGTTTCACTCTTATACACTTTTCTTACCCCTTCACCAAATCTAATTAGCTAATTAATTAATTCATGCTCACAAGGGACGAATCAGCTGCTCCGGTCATTTGATCATCCAAACGGGTCCTCTCCGAAACCGAATGACACCTATGATTCACTCTCAGAGGTGAGCAGGACTGACTGAGTGTGCATTGGGATCTGCAGAGGTAAGAAGAACACTCTTCAGCTTGGAGAGACAGCATGATTGCAGCTCTTACTGTTTCATAGAGGCTACTTACAGTAAGATCCCAGATGTACATATTGCCCAGACTACTGTTGAACAGCCATATAAACCCTCATAGCAACCATAAACCAATATACAGATAAACCAATCAGAGACTGAGAAAAATATATGGTTTTACCTCTATGATAGCAACACTAATCTCATACATCATTGTCTTAGCGATAGCGATTAGCGATTGCAGATGACAAGATATCTCAGCAACACTAGGGCCAATATGCATGTACTGTAACAATGTTCAGCACATCCCTACATGCCTACAGGGTGCGGGCCCGCATACAGGAAGTAGAAGAGGGTGAACCAACCCAGGAGCGCTTCTTCCGACCTCACTTCCTCCAGGCTCCAGGGGACATGGTGGCTCATGAGGGCAGAGTCTGTAGATTAGACTGCAAGGTATGTCATCTCTGGGCATTTAATACATTTTAGAATGACTATTAAAAGATAATTGTTAAAATCAGTTAGGATAGCCTTTGAAGATAGATAGTACTGTACAGTGGTGTAAAGTACTCAAGTAAAAATACTTTACAGTACTACTTAAGTTGTTTTTTGGGGTATCTGTACTTTACTTCACTATGTATATTTTTATATTTATATTATATATTATATTCCTTAATATAAGGAATTTGAAATGATTTATACTTTTACTTTTACTTTTGATACTTAAGTATATTTTAGCAATTACATTGACTTTTCATACTTAAGTATATGTCAAACTAAATACTATTAGACTTTTACTCAAGTAGTGTATTACCGGGTGACTTTCACTTTTACTTCAGTCATTTTCTATTAAGGTAGAAGTATGACAATTGGGTACTTTTTCCACCACTGGTACTGTATACATCTCACAAGAAGTGTTGTGTGTTTCTCTGTTTTCCAGGTGAGTGGCTTACCAAACCCAGAGCTGATGTGGCTGATCAATGGGAGGCCCATCTACCCAGACTTCTACCACCGGATGCTGGTGAGGGAGAACGGCATCCATTCACTTGTCATAGACCCTCTAAAACAGGACGACGCCGGGACATACACCTGCATCGCAAGCAACAAAGCAGGACAGAGCTCCTTCAGTCTGGAGTTAAGAGTTGTGGGTAAGAGTTCTCGAAACAATTAAGTATTTTCATGAAAACAAAATAGTGTCACGATCGTGTGAAGGAGGAGACCAAAGCGCAGCGTGTTGAGTGAACATAGTATATTTATTAAATGCTCACACGAGCAAAACAAACAACGAAACCGTGACGTCTGTGGTACAACACGCACACACACGAACAAAATCCCACAACCCGAAAGGAAAACAGATAGATTAAATATGGCTCCCAATCAGAGACAAACAGCCGACAGCTGACACTCGTTTGCCTCTGATTGGGAGTCACACCGGCAAACATAGAAAATAAACCACCTAGAACACCCACCAGAGAAACCGAAAACATAGAATGAACACACCCTGGTTCAACATAATGAGTCCCCGAACCAGGGTGTGACAAATAGTGTACCTCTTGATAACAAATGTCTATTTCATTATTTTAAAAGATTTATAAGCATTTATAATTACTTATTAATGAAAGTTATTATAAAGTGTAACTCAATTATATAATCAGTGATAGCTTTTGAATAAGTACAAAGACAAAACCATTAATTTGTTTGTATAGTGAAGAATGCCATGACAATTAATAATTATTAGTAATTAGTAATTGTACATGACAGAGAATAACTATTCTTTGCCCATTCAGAAAAAGAGATGAAGCAGGCCCCCCAGTTTGTGGAGAAGCTCCAGAACACAGGCATCGCAGAGGGCACCCCCGTCCGACTGGAGTGCAGAGTTCTGGGCATGCCTCCACCTGTTATCTACTGGAAGAAAGACAACGACACCATTCCTCACACCAAGGCCAGAGTCAGGTTAGTATTCCCTAACTAACCTATCCCCTTCCAACCAGAAAGGTGACTGCCCATCCTGTAGGTGCACTTATATTCAAACTCATGAAGACAAGAGGTAACACACAAAACCATGCTTAGAGATGTCTGTACATTCCAAATTAGCTTAGACTTTTTGAGATTAGAATATTAATGCCTGTTAATCACAAAAAAACTATTAGAACACAGTGAATATATACATTTAGAATGATCATTTAATTGAATAGATGTTTTTTGATTCTAGCATACACCAGGATGCCACTGGATATGTCTGCCTCCTGATTCAGCCTACCAGGAAAGAGGATGCTGGCTGGTACACCGTATCAGCAAAGAATGAGGCTGGAATTGTTTCATGCACAGCCAGGCTAGACATCTATGGTAAGTTCAATTCAATACAACTTTCAACAGCTTTCTTTTACCCGCCATAGTGTTTATTGTGATCGTTTTGAATTAGTTAATAGTTGCTAATGATTGTGCTTAAAGTATATAAGATATCAAATACATGCACTACAATACCCAGAGCTACAGTGCCTTCAGAAAGTATTCACACCCCTTGACTTTTCCCACATTTTGTTGTGTTACAGTCTTAATTTAAAATTGATTAAATTGGGATTTTGTGTCAAACAATACCCCATAATGTCAAAATGGAATTAGGTGGGCCTCCCGAGTGGCGCAGTGGTCTAAGGCACTGCATCGCAGTGCTAGCTGTGCCACTAGAGATCCTGGTTCGATTCCAGGCTCTGTCGCAGCCGGCCGCGACCGGAAGACCCATGGGGCGGCGGACAATTGGCCCAGCGCCGTCCAGGGTAGGGGAGGGTTTCCTTGTCCCATCGCGCACTAGTGACTCCTGTGGCGGGCCGGGCGCAGTGCATGCTGACTCAGTTGCCAGGTGTACGGCACATTGGTGCGGCTGGCTTCCGGGTTGAGCGGGACAAGAAGCAGTGCGGCTAGGTTGGGTTGTGTTTCGGAGGACGCACGACTCTCGACCTTCGCCTCTGTAACGATGGGACAAGACTGTAACTACCAATTGGATACCACAAAATTGTGGAGAAAAAGGGGGTAAAAATACAATGGAATTATGTTACAAATTAATACAAAATGAAAGGCTGAAATGCCTTGAGTCAATAAGTATTCAACCCTTTGTTATGGCAAGCTTAAATAAGTTCAGGAGTAAAGATTTGCTTAACAAGTCACATAATAAGTTGCATTGACTGTGTGTGCAATAATAGTGTTTAATTAACATAATTTTTTTAATGACTACCTCATCTCTGTACCCCACACATACAATTTTCAGTAAGGTCCCTCAGTCAAGCAGTGAATTTCAAACACAGATTCAACCACAAAGACCAGGGAGGTTTTCCAATGCCTCGTAAAGAAGGGCACCTATTTGTAGATTGGTTAAAAAAAAAAAGCAGACATTGAATATCCCTTTGAGCATGGTGAAGTTATTAATTACACTTTGGATGGTGTATCAATACACCCAGTCACTACAAAGATACAGGCGTCCTTCCTAACTCAGTTACCGGGGAGGAAGGAAAGCGCTCAGGGATTTCACCATGAGGCCAATGGTGACTTTAAAACAGTTAGAGTTTAATGGCTGTGATGGGAGAAAACTGAGGATGGCTCAACAACATTTTAGTTACTCCACAATACTAACCTAAATGACAGAGTGAAAGGAAGGAAGCCCATACAGAATAAAAATTTTCATCCTGTTTGCAATAAAAGCGCTAAAGTAAAACTGCAAAAAAATATGGCAAAGAAATTAACTTTATATCCTGAATACAAAGCGTTATGTTTGGGGCAAATCCAACACAACACATCACTGAGTACCACTCTTCATATTTTCAAGAATGGTGGTGGCTGCATAATGTTATGGGTATGCTTGTCATTGGCAAGGATTAGGGATTTTTTTTAGGATCAAAAGAAACGGAATAGAGCTATGCACAGAAAAAATCCTAGAGGAAAACTTGGTTCAGTCTGATTTCCAACAGACACTGGGAGGCAAATTCACCTTTCAGCAGGACAATAACCTAAAACACAAGGCCAAATATATACTGGAGTTGCTTACCAAGACGACATTGAATGTTCCGGAGTGGCCTAGTTACAGTTTTGACTTAAATTGGCTTGAAAATCTATGGCAAGACTTGAAAATGGCTGTCGAGCAATGATCAACAACCAACTTGACAGAGCTTGAAGAATTTTTAAAATAATAATGTGCAAGTATTGTACAATCCAGGTGTGCAAAGCTCTTAGACTTACCCAGAAAGACTCACAGCTGTAATCGCTGCCAAAGGTGATTCTAACGTGTATTTACTCAGGGGTGTGAATACATACAAATGAGATACTAATGTATTTCCTTTTCAATAAATGTGCTACATTTTCAAAAAACATGTTTTCACTTTGTCATTATGGGGTATTGTGTGTAGATTGGTGAGAGAGAAAAAAAATATTTAATCAATTTTGAATTCAGGCTGTAATTTGAAATAAATCAAGGGGTATGAATACTTTCTGAAAGCACTGTATCTCTGTTGTCTGCAGCCCAGTGGCATAAGCATGTCCCTCTGCCTATGAAAAAGGCTCTGCGGCAGGGCAGTCGCTATGCAGTGCTGACCGGCCAAGGCCTGGACATCAAATCTGCCTTCCCCACGATGGACAATAGCCCCGTCCTGTTCTCCAGCTCCCCTGTGGAGGCACAGCTGGAGAGTGAGGAGCTGTGAGGAGCAGACACACTTCACCATAGGGTTGTAAAAAGTCTAAACTTTCCCATAATGCACAGGTTTTTCAGAAATTCCAAAAGTTTAGGAAAGTTTATGGAATCTTGCCAACCTACTCCATCACCACTGGCCCTTTGAACCTACAAACAACTCTTCTCTGGAGTCTCTTAGGGCCGGTTTCCCAGACACAGATTCAGCCAAATCCTGGACTAAAAAGCATGCCCAATAGAGAATCTCAGTTGAAAGTGCTTTTAGTTCAAGACTAGGCTTAATCTGTGTCTGGGAAACTGGGACAGAGTTTAGTCTGCTCTGACACCTCCTAATGACTAATCTACTAGTTAATCTAATCTGTGGTGGCCTGTGGAATGGAAGAGCAGGACTATAATCTGAGCAGTTTGTGTCATCTGGCTTGTGTGATACATTTGAAGTGATACATTGAAATTACAATGACAAAAACGGTTAGATTTCCAACTGTCAACCTAATGCTGTGTTTGTTTTTCTGCCATTCCTATTGAATTGTATCATTTGAAGCGTCTTATTCACTCAAAACAGACAAACTCGCCAAGTCTTAGTTCATGGGCCACCGAGTCAACTATCATCTTTCAATAGGTCTGATTTGTTTATGGTTTTTCTACTTTTTGATTAGTTTGTTTGATATTGAGAAGGTTGATGAATGTTGATGATGGTGATGATGACATACCTTCGTCATCATACATTTCAACCTGTTCTTAATCTTTAGCAAATTGACTCTTCGTTTGGATGTGGTTGTTGTAGGATTTGTTTTTATTTCAAACGTATATATTTGTGTCAAATAAAGATAGTATATTTTAATGTTTATATAACATATATATGATTTGTTGTTTATGAATAACCTAGCACTAAATGTAAATCAAAGAAATGCACAAAAGGAAAGCCAAACAGACAAATTAAATTGTACACACGCATACATTGAGTGGGGGAGGTGCTACTCAATATTAGGAAGGTGTTCTTAATAATTTGTACACTCAGTGTGTATAGCAAGTTCTACTATGATATGACCAGGTGAATCCAGGTGAAAGATATGATCCCTTATTGTTGTCACTTGTTAAATTCACTTCAATCAGTGTAGATGGAGGGGAGGAGTCAGGTTCAATAAGTATTTTTAAGCCTTGAGACAATTGAGAGATGGATTGTGTATGTGTGCCATTCAGAGGGTGAATGGGCAAGACAAAATATTTAAGTGCCTTTTGAACGGGGTATAGTAGTAGGTGCCAGGCGCACTGGTTTGTGTCAAGAACTGTAACGCCGCTGGGTTTTTCACTCTCAACAGTTTCTCGCGTGTATCAAGAATGATCCACCACTCAAAGGACATCCAGCCAACTTGACACAACTGTGGGAAGCATTGGAGTGAACATTGGCCAGCATCCCTGTGGAATGCTTTCGACACCTTGTAGAGTCCATGCCCCGACGAATTGAGGCTGTTGCAACTCAATACTAGGAAGTTGTCCTTAATGATTTGTACACTCAGTGTATATAGAAAGCTCTACTATGAATATGTCTTTACAATTTGATATCTAGAATTGGTTCGACAATATGATTGAATTTCCCTTGACGTTCAATTAAAATAGAATATTTCACATCGAATACATGATTTGTGAATGCACACTTTTGCACTGTGGTTCTGTTGTGTTTTAAGTCCATACTGAGATACCATATGGAAAAGCAAGTGAACTATTGTAAACAAAGGGTAGCATTTTCGTAGTGCAAAAGCATTGTGCAAAGTGCCAAAAAACACTGTAAGCCTCATTATGAGCTTGCAGTGTAATTACATTTTGAAATTGTTCTGCAACAATGTGTGTTATAAAGTGGCGATCATTTGACAAGAGTTTAGTCAACTGAACAGTACATAAATAGTTGCCTCTTTATAACACAGTTTCAAATGAAGTCACGCTGCCAGATTGGAATGGGGTTTATGGTAATTTTTGCACTTTGCGCAATGCTTTAGCGTTACGAAAATGGCTCTGTTTCTTCTCACTGCCTCATAAATGGATAGTTGTGCTTACAGTAGCTTACAATACACCAGGAGCCTTATCCAAGGTTTGCATTTCAAACACTATCATGATGTTTACTTTACAGAAATGCCTTTTTAAGGTGAGGAATTTGTGCTGCTATTTCTGCTGTATGGAGATAGGTAACTGAATATCTAAGTTATTATAATAAAAAACACTAAATTCTGACAGCAATTTATGCAATAATGTTCATACAGCACTATAGTTGTACGATACTCATGTGTTTCAATGTTAGTGGGTCTAGTGATAGGATAGATTATTTTTTTTGGTAGGCACATTCACTGATATAATGAAATGTGTGTGGGAGAAATTGTTTTGTTATGTTTTGAAGCTTTGATGGAAATGTACACAACCTTGTAGTTAACATGATTATTGAAAACAGATTAAAGTGTAAAGTGCACCATGTAAAATAGATTTTCCCCTGAGAATAAAGTTATATTTATTCAACCCCCAAAAATATAATGTATATTTTTGTACATACATGTGTCTTACACATTATGAATGCATAACAGTTTATGGAAATATTTTCTTTTTTTGTTATTTTCCCCCCCGTAGAATCAGAGTCAAAATAACATATATATTGTTCCACCTACCTTTAAAAAACAAACATTGATCTACTCATTCACAATTGTTATAATTATGGATTACTGACTAATTCATTATCAGCTAGAATCATTGTTATGAAGTATACATTTGCCACATGATAATCAACACAGATATAATTAACATTTACCTCTGTTTTACAGTACAATAATCCAATTGAATTGGATACCATGCTAGGTCTCAACTACTCTTCCCTTTGGTTTATTGTCAAATATGAGGTGAGATTTTTTCAGGCTTATTACCTTGTTATTTACTTGTATCCCAATACTTTTTGTCTTCTGAGACCAATACGCAATTCAAGACAAGAGACAATGCTCAGTTAAGCCAACTAAGCATTGTTAGTCACACCAATTAGACTAGCAAAAAAGTTCAAACAGGCATGAAATTACATTCACCTTACTTGACCTAATTACAGTCCCCAGCCTCATTTGACCAGCTGCTACTTGTTGGCTGATTGGTAAATGAACATGCTTTGCTGGTGTTCGGTACATGGTTGTTGTAGTCCTATTGTACACATGTTGCTTTTATTTATCCACAGAAAAATTATACAATTATTTGAAATCCTTTTTGTAATGTAAATGTGTGTTACGAGGGTATGGTGGGTGGAAGTGACAAACAAATTATACAATGAATAATTATTGATCATGAATTAATCAAACCAAATGTTGGTCTACTCCATTATTTAATTACTGTACTTTTATTCAATCCATTACTAATTTCAAAATGTTTGTCACGCCCCTCATAAGCCCTGTTTACACCTGGTTCTTACATGCGTCATATCCTGAATTTGTCTGCATTCTGCATTCTGATTCTGCTATGAAATCATTTGCATACAGGGAGGGACCCGCAATAGTCTGTATTGCGGACACAGTGGAGGGATACAAATATACATTCTAAACCATGTGTAGACACATTTCTGAAAATGTGGGCACAATCAAAATGTAAACAAGATCAGGACGTGGCTATAATGGGCCCTGTTTCTGTCTTTGATTGAACCCTGATGATTGAGACTCAGGTAATAGGCCCTCTGCTGCAGATATGTCCATGATGAATTGGTTGTGAATGGACACTTGCTAGTGGTTGGTTTTTGCGAGTAAATGGTCACGTGGTTTCAAGTGACCTTTTTAGACAGAAGCCCTGTTTATACCTGGTGCTAATATGCGTCCTTTGTCCTGATCCTGTTCACATTCTTATTGTGCACACATTTTTTGACAGTTGAAGACGATTAAAAGACGCTTTGTGAGCTGATTGTGATCAGATCTTCCTGACCACCTACGGAGGTAGTCAGGAGCCTCATTTAAACCTGGTGCTAACATGCTCTTAATCATTTCTAAATGAAACTTTAGTATATTATTGAATCTAATCACATTGACCAAGTTTGGCGGAACACACTGTAGGCCCCTAATACTGACGTTTTTACACTTTCCCTATTCTTAAGCTTCAGAGGCCCTAATCTCCAAGTAGATCTATCTGGACGGGTCACTCCTTTTTCTGGGACATATGGCTTTTGACAGAGGGGGTAGCCTAGCGTCCAGTCCTTGTCAGACAAGCCAATCATATGAATGAGTGGAAAAACGAGGCTGGAAGAAACGGAAAGGTCGGAGACTGTCTGAGACATAGGCCACAGACAAGACAAGAGCAGCTGGCCAACTACATCAATCTGTAATCAATGAACCAAACTGGTAGAAGGGATTATATGCCTAATTGCACAGCAAACCAGTCCATCCCCAAAATGACCAAACAGCATGAGCTTATTTCCATGACCCAATATGACCTAGGCATGAGGCATCATCTTGGGCATCTAGCAATAATGAATGATTCATACACAATGCTTCTATACCCTGGTTTTTCTTCTTCAAATGTAATAACATTTGAGTTTCACGCATAAAACCCTCTCTATGGCATTATGTTATGTTGTATGTTCTATTTCAATAAGTAAATACAACGGGAAGAGCTAATAAATATTGACCAGGTTTGCTGAAGTCGTTAGTCATATTATTTTATGCAGATCTTATACAAATCTGTTAATGCCGTTCAGAAATACGATTGTCTAACATTTGAGTGCATTTAAAGCTCGGTATAGGCCTATGCATGGTTTGTTGGTATGTACTGTATATGTTCGTGTTTAGTTGTGGGTGCTTTTGGATGGAAGGGGAGGGGCTGTTGACCTGGTCGGATTCATCCCTTGATTGTTGGATTCACTTGTACCAGATGGAAAGGACAGACAGTTAAACAAATTATTCTGTCAGTCTCATTTCCTCGGACCACTAGACCGATCAATTATTTATTTCACACATGGTCCTCAGTACGTACGAGGACACTAATGTATACCACATACTGTGCTTGATTAAGAACACAGCATTGGTAAACAGACTAGAAGACCAGCAATAGGCACCCAATATCGGAGCAATCTCTTTTAGTACTTTCTAATAATCCATAGCATTAATGAATATACTTCTTATTTATGAATGTAATGTATGTCCCATCCCTAATTCTACCCAAAATATCAAATTCAAAACA